CACACACACACACATAACTACGTAAATGGCTCTAAGTGCATTCATGTGTTGAATAAACAAGATTACATGTTAATGTTTTGTTAGTACCCTTATTTCATTGTGTTACATTTCACCCCAGGATATGTTACAACTAACCCAGACTATGGGGTTAATTGTAACATTTCACTCTTTGTGTTTGAGGCCATACCATGCAATGGGTAATTGTGCTGCAGAGACAATAGCTGCACTATTTAATAGCCGAGACATGTAAATACTTTGCATTACATTTTGAATCCACTACCTTAAAAGAGCTCCAATTTACAGACAGAAATGTCAAAAATGTTACAACTATCCCCGGTCTCCCCTACTTGACTGTATGTGTTGTAAGACCACTACATCCAGCCTGTCTGCAGAAAGCTTCTTGAATCCACATACTAAACATCAAGAAGGAATTAATATTGAAACTAGAGTGTGGCTTTTATGAATTACAAAATAAAATACTTTTAACTCATGGTCATGTCTGATTTTCAAAGATAAAAGATTCTGTGAGCTCTGTGAGCAGTGCACAGATGAGCAGGACGTCATGACAACTGATTGGAAGTCAACTGTGGTCCAAAAAGAGTCCACAGCACTGGAAAAACCAGTGGCGCAAATTGCAAATTTGACATTATTATAGTCCTCAGGAAAACATTCCCAAACAATCCTTATTACTAATTACTCCTCAGTTCACTCCATATTTACATGCTGCTTCTTTCTGGCTTGTAGGGATATTTATCAGACCAAGCAGAATGGATAGATGAATGAAACAAAAAAGTTTTGTAATGCTGTAAGCACAAAAACATTACAATTGGAAAAAACTCAGCAGCAGTTTCTCTTTTACAAATACAGTACTTTTACAGTACTGTGTGAGAAAAATGGTGCTTGCAGGGGAAACAGTGATTGGGGACTCTCAGTGATGATGTAACAGCTCGGTTGAGTTTAGGCTTTCTGACAGCCTATCAGTATAGGCCAGCGAGCCATCCAACAATCTTACTCAGAGTAAATCTCCAACCATGTACCATGAAGCAGAGAACAGTATGAAGCTGTATGTTCAAAGCTCGATGAGACAATGATAAGAAACACAGAGGAGAAGGAATGTATTTGGAAAGCAAATAAATGTGGCGGCATGCACACACAGCACAAACACTCAGAGTGTTAGCATGAGACTCCAGAGTAAGACTGGGAGCTGTGGGTTCTTACTTGGAGGTAAGGCTTGGTCAGTGGCAGCAGGAAAATGGTTTAGGTCATGGCTGGGTCGCAGGACTGGAAGATGGCCAACAGGAGGGGAGAAGCTTGAGCCTACAGGACATTAGAGAAACAGCACGGGGTGAATCACCATAGGGCCAAGGATATTCTGTACCAACTATAAGACTGGGAATAAACTGCACTTTGCCCACATAGATGTGGAATCCCCATGTGTTGTTAGTTAGATATGTGAACACTGAGGCTGTAGACAGACATGCCCAATGTTTCATATATAGATGTCATAGAGTTAATGACATGTAATGTTAGCATATATTTGGCTAATGCTACTGTAACTGTTTATCAAATCAATAAGGTTAAAGATACCAATGTGTCAGTTTACCAATGAAAGGTTAAAAAAGAATATTTATTCTCAACAATTTTAATAACAAATTCATTTTGTTTTTGAATCAGAACATTTCCTGTTGTTAAATTTGAGAACCTGATACTTGTCTTTATCTTGCTAGTTTTACATTAGCTTAATATACAGTTGGGGTCATAAAGGTGCTTATACCGATGAGCATGAATGTCATGTTAATTTTGGGTTTTAATAATAGGAAGGTGAAATGACTGTACAGCATAGGTCTTTAGCAACTCAAGAATTGGGTGTAAATAAATCTGTACAAGTTGCATCTCAAAACAAGCTCCTGGCATAATTCTCACTGGATATTTGACCATTCGTCTTGGCAGAATTGACACTGTTTATTTAAATTGGTTTCTTGCCTGGCATGAACTGAGCACAAATTTTCAAATGTTATGAGTATTGGTCAGTAAATGCTGTCAAATAAATCCTTTTGCTGGCAAAGAGAAACTACCAACTGTAGTCTGTCACTAAGGAGATCTAGGAGGTCTAGTTAAAAGACACTTTAGAACCTGCAGCCACACTTATTAAAAGATTTGAGTGTATCTACATATTTGAGCCTTTGTGTTAACCATTGGCCTTGTGTGGACTGAAGAAAATCCTAAATAAATGTAAACTTTTACACCCAATTTTTCTTTTTTAAAGTGATTAAAGGTGTATGCTATACAGTCATTACACCCTAGAAAAAGTTTTTAGAGTATCTAAAAAATGAAAATATTTCTTGGAACATTTTTCATGCCCTGCAGACACATAAACAAATCATGCCCATCTGCCAACCACATTCCTTTAATCTCTTTTTGAACTACTCTACCACCAGCACCAATAACAAGAGCTAGAAGTTAGTCTTTCTGCTAATTGCCCCACCAACAATAAACGCTGTCTCCATTTACACACATATATATATATATATAGTTACTGTTTCTTGCAGACTGTTTTGAAATAGTCTCTAACAGCTTTTCCATCAGCTAGTTAAATGGTAAAATGGTGAGTGAGTGGTCTGGATGAAGGAAAATGTGTGTTAATGCGAAGTGCAAACAGACATAGCATGCTTTGAGATGGGATTGTGATAGGATTAGCTGGAGTCAGCCTGAGTGAAATGTAATCCATAAAATGCTATCACATTAATGAGCAAGCTTTCCTTCCACTGAAAAAGAAACATTTATCACCTAGGCAGAAGCACTGATGCAGCACACTGGCTGTACATACATTGCAAAAGACAGAAACATCACTGTTGTGGTAGGACTGTGACGGAAGGCCATAATATGCATCACTGTGTGTAACTCGTTAATTGAGATTTGCCGCATTAATGCATTTATGGTGTCAACGTCACTTTAACGAGATTAACGCTGACAGCACTAATATATATACATTAAAAAAGAGGTGAGATGTTTTAAGGCTTCAGTGCTTGGGCTTTAGGGTGGAGATGGCCAATGTCTATCATTACCTCTTGTGAAAGATAGTTGGAAGGCAAAGCTGGACGGATCACCTTTGCCATAAAGGTTCTCATAGGCTGAGATTAGAGAAAGCTCCAGTTACAGGCTATAAGGTTTCTATAGTGGAAAAGCAGATTTTAATAGCGAAGCTAGTCTAAAGTTGCAAAAGCACAGAAGTTAAAGTAAACCAGGACAATCCGAAACAACATTCTGGCAACTTCAATTAATGAGTAATCAAATCGAGCAGTTCAATAAAGACAGAGGTCTGGCATTTCTTCCTGCTGATGTTCATGCTGGTAGATGGCAGTAAAGTTTTAATCATGGAAATTCACCACAGAGGTGACTAGCATTACAGAAGTGAGTGAGCACATATAAAGTAATGTTTATAACTGCTTCAAAAATCTCAACAAATACCACAAAACACAAACTTTTTGTGCAGTTTGGAACACAATATGCTTGGGAGTTAAAGGTACAGAGGCTGGATTTCCCAGAAGTTAAAGTGTGCCAGTAATCAGTGATCAGATGTAAGAGAGAGAGAACGAAATGTTCAAAGTTAAGGACTGGCATAGTTAAAATTGTTTTTCAAATCTTTAAAAATATGAAAAAACAAATTTAAGTAATTTAATTTTGTGTTATTGAAAGGTTAAATGAGAATACATGACAGTTTAATGTAGTTTATTGCCAGTTAAAAGTATTAGTTTGAAGTGTGGTAATAAAGTTAACAGTAATGTACTACAATGGACTTGTCAAAGCAGCCTGTGGTGTTCATGGTCAATGTTTAATCAAGGGTAGCAGGCTGATCTGTTTGCTTAAATGTTATAGAATTTAGTTAAACCCACAAAGACCAGTAAACCTAAGACCAGCAGCAGCACAGTTCAGCTTATCCCCATATGTAAGGAGCTTACAATGCAGATTTTATTTTATGTCTTATTTCAGTTGTTGTTTTCCCCCCATTCTGTACTGCTACACTGGATATTAGTGTTCTTGCAGTGTTCCTCTCCATCACATCCAGTTTCAAAATATCAACATGGCCTTACAATAACATGGCATCACAAACCACCAGGGGATACTACAGTGGCGACTTCAATCTTTTATATGGTCCAATGGTTCAATGACCCAACAATCCATGATGGGGACCTTGCAGGTAAAACTAACATTGGGCTAAACCACAGAGGATTCCCTCGCAGGAATCCAAAAGGGTAAAACTGCTGTGGGAGCCACATTGGCTAGCCTACAAGGGGTCCACATGGTTTTTGAAGCTGGACTGCCTCCAATTGGGGCCAAAACGGGATACCTGTGGGTTTGCTTTGCCCACACAGCCCCACAGTTCACCCACAGATAGCTGCTGTGGATGCGCAGGGGCATGATTGTTGTGGATGTGGTTATTCTAAAAGTGTGATAGAAAGTAAGAGCCTGTGAATGACACATGGTTCATTTACTCACCTGCCTGTCCTTTTCCAAAGAGTTACCAAGGACAACTGTCCAGATGGTTCGGGGTAACAAACCATCTGTTATAACAGGTAAGCAGTCCAACACACACCCACAAGGCCAACACAAACTCCAACAACTTGGTCCAAGAATAAATGGCAAATGGACTTATGTTTAAATATTGCTTGTCTGCCCATTTTAAGCACTCAAATCACAAATACTACATGCCTCATTCATCCAGTCACACACACAATGAATGCTCTATCCTAAGCTGCCCGACACCTTGGCATGCAGACCGAAAGAGCTAGGGATCAAACCTTAAGATTAGCTAGTTACAGTCACTCTAATAGAGGCAACCGAGGAAACTCCACTCTCGTCACAGCACTACTCATTCACTTTCTTGTTTATTTCTGCTCAGTTTCCATCATGCTAGCGGAGGCTGAACACCCACACACAAAATCTTCCCATACATGTTTTTGTAGATCATTCACACAAACTCGACACAGCACCCACACTTGACAGAAATTCAGATCTGGATGGAGAAACTATGGTTTCATCAAGCTCTGAAAATTGCATAAATAACCAATTACTGGTCCAAGTCTTAAAAACCCAAACACACTTAAAGGTTTCCCATAATCACACAACCAAATTAAATATCAGAGAAGTGATAAAAGCAGATTCAAGCCAAGAGCATTCAAAGCCAAAATGGTTGGGGAAAAAACAATCTTTGTGTGCAAGAATATAATCGTAACAAGCAGAAAGAAGAAAACTATACAGCTATCAAACTCTGCAGAGGGTTTACATTAAAAGGAAGTCTTACAGGGTTCTGCAAAACAGTGTGTGTATCCAGCTTTCACTCTCTACAGGCAACATCATGCAAAAAATACACATATACAAAAATGTCCAACGTAGTAAAAGTCAGTTTATACTTAAATAAATACGTTTACAGCTTATACTTAAATAATTTGTCACTTGAGAATTTTCCTTTCTGAGAAAGTAAAGTGAGGGTCATTAACAAGCAGAACCTGAATCTCCCAGAAGGTAAACAGAAGCATTCTGTGAAAACCTGCCAGATAAAAAGTTACATTAAATTGGCTAAAACAAATATTAATAGGAACATGTATTCATTTGGGCTTCACTTGAACATTGAGGCACCCCTCCATGATAAACAACTCCCCCCAATGACAGCTATGACCCCCAGAAGAACAATGCTTCATGAACATGACACAGCTAAACCTAAGCTGCTGAGCTAACTGAACCTCTGCACACGAGCCTGAGACAATCCACAGAGACCCATCTCAACACTCACAGATCTCAAATGATTCTCTCCATCATTCCACACTCAACAGGACATCCCCTGGATTTCCACTTCCCCATATGTCAGAGCATTTTTGGGAGGGACCCACACACCAGTGTTAGAACAGCTAAAAGTCATAGTACTGACTAAAGAAGGAGAAGAAACATAAAAAACATCCAGTTGAGTGTCTTGGAAATTAATCATTGTGGGTTCAATTTCATTCTAGAAATGGCCAAACAACAAAAAAGAAAGTCAATTTTCTCCTCATGCCAGACAATGAGACAAGAAAGCTTTAGAGAAGCGTGAGCTAGCGTATTTGTCTCTATAAGAATAGGCCAACATAGTAGGCATTGGGGGAAAAGCTTCACTTTATATATGGCCGGTAAGGTAACTTCCTGCGAAGCTGAATGTGTTCTAGTCTAATTTGAAAGCTGGAGCTGAGAGTTATTCTGAGACAATCTCACCGATGCTGTTCTGATCACTGGGCCCCGCCACAGCTGGATCCCCCTGCTCTCCGCTCCTGGCCTCCTTCCATCTGCCCGTCCTCCTCTCGGCCCCGCCTTGCTCTTGTCCGTCAGGGCCGTGATTGCCATCAGGTACTGACTCAAAGGCGCTCTCCTCATCTTCCTCTTCCTGGGAGGAGAACACAGTGCTGCTGGAGAGCCGGTTACTCTCCACCGAAGACAGGCGGGTGTGGCTGCAAAACCGCCCCCTCCCCTCATAGCCGGAGTTGCTGTAGCATGACGTGCTGTAACAGGAGGTGCTGTAGCACGAGGTGCTGTAGCAGGAGGTGTCACAAAACTCGCACTCGCTTTCACCTGGAGCTCTGTGGGCGCTGCCGCCAGCCCTCCTTCCTCCCCCATTGCTGGAATCCCCCTCCTCGCTTTCTGGACAGGAAGGAGAGATCCTCCTGACTGCTGTGTGGCCACCTCCAAATCCTTCACCTTCCAGAAGTTGATTCAGCTCAGAGAGGCGCTCAATGGAGAGGCTGCGGGGCAGCGAGCGCCGACAGCAGGGGCCCGGACACACCAGAACCTGCACGAGTTTAAAGACACAGATCTTTTATTACTAATCAGCAGAGGTGAATCAAAGTGGATGAGTGGGTTAGCCCTTCAGTATGTCACAGTGCAGAATGAGAACAGGATTTATGCTGCCACAGCTTTCTCAAATAAATCTGCTCATGCATCGTGTGAGCAATCCCAGCACATCAGCTGATCTCAGTGCTACCGGGCAATTCCCTGTCTCATAAACAGCACGCTATTCAAATTCAGTTTGAACAATTTAATTTGGATCGTTTTGGTTTATAGCTAACACACCTCGGAAACTAAACCAAAGAGACAGTATGAGCACAGACGAGAAAAGCTAGCTTACATGCTATATATGCTAAACAGGTGTACTGCCAACACTTCTTGGGGGACCTCCAGCTGAAGAAGCTCCACTGCATACACACAGCAAGTGTCTAACCAGCCCATTACTGCCCCTACCTGAGAGGGTGACTGTGATGTATCCTCTTCTTCATCATCCTCCTGCCCCTCCTGCTCTTTGGAGGTTTTATGCGTTGGTGATGTGGTGTTTGTCTCCAGAGTGCTGTCTGTATTCACTCCTTCCCCACTTTGCTCTTCCTCCTGGCTGGGCGGTCTGTGCTGGGCCGAGGGAAGACTGTGAAGGAGGTGGTGAATCCGGATGTAGTGGGATCGTGGCGTCTCAGGCTCGCCACAGGCCGAGGCAATCACCGTCTCCAGCTCTGACACCGGGAGGGAGCAGGGGCGGGTTTTACGGCGTGAATGAGCATTGGAGTTGTAGTTCGACAAGAGAGACTGGCAGGAGCAGGGGGCGCAGCTTCTTTCCCCTCCCTCTCCAACCTCCTGCGGGGTCCCTTCAGCTGGGCCTACAGGAGCCTCCTGGGGTGCAGTGTTTTCCTCGGGGGGAGCCTCCACAGCAGTGGCCTCATCGAGAGTCATTTCTGCTACGGCACAGTCAGAGTGTGGCTCTGACTGTGCTTCATCCACAGCCTCTCTTCCTTCTGCTGTAACCTCCTCCTCGGCTTGGGCTGCAGTCTCCTCTCCCTGCTCCACCTCTCCTTTCTCCTGCTGCCCCTCCTCTCCTCCCTCCTGCTGCTGCTCAGCAGATTCTCCCTCCGCCTGCTCCACCTGAGGCTCAGGAGTCAAGGGTTCCTCTCTCACCGTGGTCTCCTCTTCCACACTTCCTTGCTCCTCCTGTGACGTCGCTTCACCCTGCTCCTTCTCAGCGGGTTGGACCTCCTTGGGTGCGGAGGCTGCTTCAGGTAAAGTCTCAGGGTCAGGAGGAGCATCCAAGGGAAGATCAGGCATGTCAGGGCCCACACTCAGTGTGTCATCATCGGGAGCGTCAGCAGCATGGTTGACATCTGCTGCGTGTCCACCCTCAGGACAGGCCGCCTCTATGACTAAGGAAACCTCCTCATCGTCTAAGAAAGAAAGGTACACGCTTTCATCACTGTTTCATAAGTTTCATTTTCAAGTTGCTGCCTTCAAACTGAGCTTTGTCTTCAGTTCAGTGCAGTGACTTAAGTGAAATCACTAATTTTTCAGAGAAATA